AAGGAGAAGATGATGGTGCCCTCGCTGCGAAAGGCGCTGCGCAGGAGCATCTTCGAGCCCGAACCGCGCGCCAAGCTCGAGACGATTCCGGACGCCGAGGACAGCCCGGCGAGCGTGAGTGCCGGCAAAGGCACGGCGGCGCCGGCTTCGTCGGTGCGTGCGATCGCCACGCCCGGTTCCACGCCGGCTGCCAAAGACGCCAACCTCAAGGGCGCGCTGCCCGGCAGCATGATCACGCGCGGCTTCCACATGCCCGGCTCGACAGGCGGCAGCGGGGCCGCTTCGGGCACCGAGACGCCCAAGGCGGTGGTTGGTGCGCCGCCCGCGCCTTCGGCGCCTCTTACGGCCGTCGGGCTCGGAATCCCCTCGGTCGGCACGTCTAGCAAGTCGACGGTGGCTGTTGCAGCCAAGCGAGATGCGGCAGTGGGGCCGTCGCTGCCCGGCTCTGGCACGGCGACGCCCGCCAGCCTTGGTCGTCGCTCGCCGCGCCCACCGTACGTTGCGCCCCCGCCTCCGACGTCGGCCAACACGGTGCTCGAGAGCGATCCTCTGCAGAAGCCTCGTGCGATTGAGCTGTTCAAAGCTCCCGTCGATGCGAGTTTCCGGCTGCACGAAGAGGGCGAGGCGGCGGAGACCGACGAGGGCTGGACGAAAGTGCTGCGGTTCATGCACGTTGTGGAGCAGCTCAAGACGAACAAGCGGACGGGGTGGATGCACCACCGCGTTCCGGCGCCCGAGAGCATTGCGGACCACATGTACCGCATGGCGATGCTGTCGCTGCTGTGTCCCGCCGAGCAGGATGTGGACTTGGGCAAGTGTGTGCAGCTTGCCGTCGTGCACGATCTGGCCGAGGCCGAGGTGGGCGATTTGACGCCGTTGGATGGCGTGCACAAGAGCGAAAAGGCGCGGCGGGAGAAGGAGGCGATCGAGTACTTTGTGCACGACCTGCTCGGGTCCTCGGCGGCCGGGCTGCGCATCGAGGCGCTGTGGGAGGAGTACGAGGCGCGCGAGACCAAGGAGAGCAGGCTCGTCAAGGACCTCGACCGGTTCGAGCTCGGTCTGCAGGCGGTCGAGTACGAGCGCAGGTATGGGATCGATGACCTGCAGGCATTCTGGGACGGCAGTCTGCCGCACATTGCACACCCGCGCATCAGGAGGTGGGCGACCGAGCTGGCGCTCGAGCGACAGCGCCTGTGGAACGAGCGCGGACGGGATGAGTACGTGCAGCAGCTGCCCGCCGAGCATCGCAAGGCCGATGATGCTGCGGTGTCGGAATGAAGATTCAAGGACCCTCGATGCAGGCGTAATGACAAAACAGCGTAAAGGAGCAAGATGCGCCGACGTTGCTCGCATTGTGGTGATTTGTGTGCATGGCGATGCGGGTGAGAGTCTAGCAGGGGATCGGTCTGTTTGGCGCGGGTTCTGCCGCTTCTTGAGAGCAGGATGCCCAGAGGGGGGAGACTCACGTGTACAAGGCGAGCACAGGGATTGGAGAGGAGCGTCATGATCAGGGTTGAAGCCTCGCCACGCCACCGCGCACGACCGGGTGTGCAAGATCTGTGGTGATGGCATCCTCTCCAGCGGAGCGTCGACTGCCAGCGACCCTCGAACGATGCAGCCGATCGGCACACGTGGTGGATCCTGCACAGTCTTCTCTTTGCTCGGTCTCTACTTGCACACATCGAGACAAGACCTGTGTAGCGTTTGTATATTCCCTGGGTGCATTCCGGACTACGTCAGGAACCAGCTCGCGTTCTGGTACCACGCGAGCAGCGGGTTGGATCCGTCCCTAAGCACGAGCTTCTCCCTCTCTGCGTACCTCTCCAAAAACGCCGCATGCCCGAGCACATGTGGGGCTCTGGACTTCCTCTGGTGCGGCGAAAAGTGCGGGCTGAAGAAGGCGCCATTGACCGCATGGTACATCTTTGCAAGATGGGCGAAGTTGGTGGGGAAGAAGATATCAAAGTATCCCTGGAGGACGAGATAGGTTGTGACGGGGACCATCTGGGCGTTGATGCGCGTCTGCACCACGGGGGCGTTGACCCCACCGATCGAATCGGGAAGCGCGTTGAAGTCGGACATGACCAGACGGTGGTGTGGGAAGAAGCGGTTGAGTGTGTCGAACAAGCGCAGCGCGTTGGTGGGCACAAAGACGGCGTCGGAGAGGTTTGGAAAAAACGGCGCATGTTTTGCCAACACCGATCGCAGCCTGTCGGGAAGCAGGCGGAGGTAGGACGACTGCAGAGGCGATAGATCTCGACCGATGATCTGGAGGTACCTTTGGATGAGTGGGTCGCTGAGCGGTTCGTACAGCTCGTGCATATCGCCCGTCTCATCGATCGATACCACCCCCTGGTAGGGCGTCAGATCCTCCAGCGCGAACCGCACCACGTCGTGCGCGAGGTTGTCCAGCACCTCGAGTGCGATCACGAAGCACGGCTCCACCACCTCGTCGCTCCACGCCAGCACATCGCGGTGCACCACCTCGACCCTGCCCGCTGCAGCGTGCCTGGCCAACTTGCGCCTCTGCTCCTGTGCAAGTCGCTCGCTGATTTCGACGATGCGATAGCGCGTACGCGTGTAGATCTCCGGCTCGCTCGAGGCAAGGTAGTCCAAGATCCCGCGTGCAAGTGCTCCCGACCCGGCACCCAGCTCGAATATCACCAGGTCGTCGTACGGGTAGTTGTGCAGCTTGTACTCGGCCACCAAGTAGCGCGCGATCGCATGGGCGTAGTACGGCTGGAAGATCTGCGTGGGTGTATGCCACACTTGCTTGGCTGCCATGCTCTGCACATCCGCTTCTTGCACTCCTTCCCGTGCCATTGCCCGTCCCTTGCGCTGGGCAGCTTCCAATCCGGCTGCCGAGTACTCGGCCACCCGAGTCGCGGCTCCCTCCTGTCGCTTTGCCACGCGTTCTCGACGTTCCCGTTGCACCGACTGGGCAAACTCGTCCTGTTTAGTCTGTGCATCCAGCGCGTTCTGACGCTCCTGTACGAGCACCGCGATCTGCGTCTCAAACGACTCGTACCGCTCCTCGACCATGCGCATGAACTCGCTCTCGTTCTTGATCGCGTTGAACTCGAATCCGCTGCTCGGTCGCAGCACGCCCATCTCGTGCTCGTACGTCTCCCCACCCACCATCTCGTACTGCTCCTCTCCCTTTGAAGACGCGGGATCGGCGTCGGGAAGCAGCACAGCCTGCTTGGAAAAGTAGCCGTAGCGAGGATTGTACAGGCTGTCGTGGATAAAGTCGCGCGCCAGCATGCGTACCTCCCTCGGCCTACCCCCCGGCCCCATCACCTTCTCCTCCCCTCCCTCCCTGCGGTCGCTAGAGTGCGCCTCAGACCGTGCCGCAAGATCATCCGCAGTCACCAGCGGATAGCTGTAGTGCTTGGCGTCCGGGTGCAGCGTAAACGGATCGTAGTTGTACTGTGTCCTGTGCCGTTCTGCTTCGTCTTCGGTCGGCTTGTTGCCCGACGAGCTTGCATGCCTCACCCCGCCCGAACCCAGTACCGTGCGCGTGCGGGAGGCAGTAGCCGAGACGACAGGGAGCCTTTGCGAACCACTCGCCAACAGCCGCTGGGTCGTGGGCAAAGCTGCCGTGTGCAGTGCAGCACCTGCGCACCGCACGAGCCGCTTCGATGCTCCGCCTGTCGCTACCACCATCGTTGAACCGTCGAGTCCCAGCGAGCAATGATAAGAGTAGGTGCCGATGTTGGAGAAGAAAGTGTCAAGAGGTCAAAGCCCGGCCGTAGCGGCCCAACAACGGCTCTCAAAAGACGCGCACACAACGTATGGCCGAAAGCCGAACTTTTTTTTCACCGCTGACGGCTCAACTCGATGCGCACCCAACTCTCACCGAACGGCCTTGATTGCTTGCTTCAATGACTCTGCTTGCCAAACTACCGACGAGCACAGCTCAAGAAAGGTCGAACCCAGCCTCGCTCTGGATGGCGTACAGCAGCTTCTCGCGGCACGTTGCCTCGTCGGCATAGTCCGGCAGCTTGAGCATGTTGACGCACGTGCTGGCCGTGGGCAGGCGCGAGGTATCGTCGCCGGCCTTGCGGATGGCAAACATGGGGTTGAGCTGGCTGAACCCCAGCAGCGGCGGCTTGGGCGAGCTGGTGACAAACTTGAGGAACGCCTTGCGCATGGGCTGGTCAAATCCTTCCAGCACGTGCCAAAAGTGCTCCACCGTGAGGTCCTTGTCGTGATAGCCGCCCAGCACCGTATGCTTGCGCAGGTCGTCAATGTCCACCGGATCGTCGCTGCCCGAGATGAGGATGGAGAGCTCCTCGTGGTTGAAGTTGCGCAGCCAGCGCGGATTGATGATGTCCGCAAGCCCGGTGAAGAAGGCATTGCACTGGTGCTGGATCTGCGTCGAGAGCCGGTAGTGCGAGATGCGGTAGATGTACTCTATGCGGTTCAGGTTCGTCACCGGAATGTTGGCCCCACCCGGCACCAGCTCGCGCGTAAGGCTCACGCCAAACTCCTCGTCCGTCACGGTAAAGTTCAGCGCGAGGTCCTCGACGTTTCCCTGGTAGTTCTTGAGCGAGATGAGCCCCTTGTACAGCTCCTTGTCCAGACTGTCGATCGACCCGAGGTCGTCCAGGAACGACTGCTTGCCCAGCATCTTGGACAGGAAGAAGCCGGCGAACTTGGCGTCCACCAGGATACCCTCGTAGAGCGCCTTGCCAATCACACGGCCCAAGAAGCCGTACCATTCCAGCTGATCGCCCGAGGTGGCGTAGGTGTGCGGGTTCGGATAGAGCTCCTGTGCATCGGTCGCCTTCCACAGGCCGCGATTGGTGTCGAACGCTTCGCGCACCAGCGAGGTGAGGAACTCCTTGAACAGCCCACCACCGTCGATGCCCGCTTCATTGTTGCCGAACTGGTCGACAAACACAATCTCGAGCGGCTTCTTGATCTCTGCACCCAGAGGAGCGAGCGCGGCGAAGCCGTCCTGCGCCACATGACCGCGTCGGATCTTGACCGCCCTGCGTCGCTGCCAACGATCGGCAAAGATGCCGTTCTTGACCGCGTCGATCTGGACGAACTGACGGAAGATCTGGGTGCGGACATCGAAGGGGATCATAAAGGGGACATTGTTCAGGATACCCAGTCGAGGCGAGAGGAAAGCCAGATTGAGCGCAGTGAGATGGCGGCTGCGAGTGTCTCCGCGAGCGCGTAGCTGTTGAAGGCGCGAGAGCGGCTGACGCGACTGCGCATCGTCGTCTGCGATCATTTCTTCGTCGCTGTCCTCTCCGTCGCGCATGTCCGCATCGACACCGTGCGCCACCGCAGCGATGTGGGAGGAAGGTGTGGAGCCGTCGGCATTGCCAGGACTGATGCCGTCAGAGCGCTCCGACTCGTCGTGTTGCTCGCTGCTGAGCTGCTGCTCTTCGAGCACTACCGTGCGCATAAAGTCGTTGAGGTCGAGGTGGCTGACCATGAGCCAATGGTCGGCAGGAGCAAAGCGACGCCTCGAGTCGCGCAGGTGCAGCTGCTTGAGCACCTTGGTTACGAGCGAGCGGAGCGAGAGAAGCGTCATGCGCATCCCCGGAACGCGCGGCGTGCGTTTGTGTGAGCGCGCTTCCATGAGCTCTTCGTCGTGCAGATTGACGAGCGGAGCCTTGCCCTCGTACCAGTACATGGCAAAGGCAACGTTTCGGAGGAGGCCGCTGATGCTCACGATCTCGTCGCGGGAAAGCCAGGCGGCATTGGCAGCATTTGACCCGCCGAACTGGTTGTCGCTCGGATAGAACTCGTCATCGCCGAGGGTAAGGAGCACATTGGACAGCAGTTCGAACACCAGAACGAGCGCAGGCCAATCCGTGGAGGTACTTGTGCTGGAGAGCGACGCAAGGATCTCTCGCGCACGCGTGTCGTTATGCGCCGAGGCAAGACTGCGGGCAAGGCTGCTGCCACGCACGTAGCCTCGCCAAACTTCGCGGATGAGGCCTGTGCCGGTAGGAGCGTTGTGGCGCTGCTGCTTGTTGTCTCGTGCGACCGAAGTTTCGGAGCCCGAATACAAGAGACGGTTGAGGACGTGATCGTGCATGTCGGTAGGCCAAGCGGCGAGCGTGGCGCAGATGAAAGAGAAGAGGGGTCCGCGAGTGGCTGCAGGGAAGCGGTTGGATACGGCAAGTACGGCGGAGAGATGCTGATCGGAAACGAGGACGCGCAGCCTTTCGTAGATTTCTTTGGCATCGGAGAGGTCGGGCTCAATCGCGGCCTCGTGATGCAGCGCCTTGGGAAGACGGCCGTTGGCAGTGGAAGCTGCTGGGTTGATGGACGGATCAAAGGCTGAGGCGGGCAGCCAGTCCTGGGCACTGGTGAGTGCCTGAAGGTACTTTGCATGGGTTGCGCCATCCTTGAAGAAAGCGACGCGTTGCGAGCCGAATGCCAGGAGGTTCGAGAGCAGACAAGGTTGTTGGAGCGCTTGAGCCGCCTGGGTTTCGACGGATGACGACGGGATGGTCGCGTCCAGTTGAGGCGCCTGGATGGATGGTGGCTTGAAGCGCAAGATCCAGTCGAGCACGGAAGTGAAAGGGAGGTTCTTGGCGAGCTCCGTCACGGAGTCGAGAGGCAGACGCTTGCGGAGTGCAGGAATGGTGAGGATCTCGACTGCGAACGAGTGGATAGCCTGGGATGCGATGTCGGCGGCTTTTGCATCTGGCGAAGAGGCACCGTCGATATCGATTGCGTTTGCAGCATTTACGCCCGATGCCGTAGAGGGTGGGACAGAGGCGGCTTTGAACCTGTGCAGGGGAGCCAGCGCCAAGGAAACGGCTGGGGAGAGGCTGGACGCCTTGGACTTTTGACGGGCTGTGAAGGAGAGAATGTGCGTGCGGAGAGTGTGGTGAAGGCCGAGATCGAGAAGCAGGGCAAGCAGCGCAGAAGCGAGGCTGGCGTGTTGATTGTCGATGTTGATGAAATGCGCTGGGGAGCGAGCGTCTACTCCGGTGAGCAGACCGAGGAAAGCGAGGGTCTCGAGATCAAGATCGAGTGAGGAGGGCGAAGCGGTGCTTTCGGTCAAGCGAGAGGATGCTGAGACGGTGAGGAAGCGGAGCGCATGCTTGCACGCCAATTTGAGGAGGGAGACCCAGCTGGCTGCGGCATCTTGGCTGTGGGGATGGAATGGGTGAAAGACGAGAGGGATGCCATCGACGGGGTGCGAGACGAGCTTGATCCACTGAAGGAAGAGTTGAACATCGGTAGAGTCGAGTGCCCTCGTGGTTGGGCCAAGGCTGACGAGGAGGGTGCGAGTGGCGTGGATGAGATCGGCTGTTGGCGGTGCAGCTGCTGTTGCGGCAAGATTGGCCTGAGCCTGTGTCAAGAGGTGGGCCGAGTCGGTGCGCCATTGGGACCTGGTGTGTTTGGATACGAGGATGCGACGTGCCTGCGATTGGATGCGAATGGAAGCGAGCTGCCTTTGTCTTTGCTGTTCGCGTTCGATGCGTTGAGCCCGTGCGCTCGACGCTGGATCGGCCGACGAGGTGGAGGTGCCGCCGAGGGTGACGGGCGCCCTGGAACGGCCGGCGCCGGTAAAGTGGAAGCTCATGGCAGCGAGACACTGCGAGTTTGAGAGCGAAGGTGAAGAGGAACGAGAAGGTGGTGGTGGCTTGGCAAGCGGAGGAGGATATGCTCTTCTTCTTGTGACACGCCGCCGCCGCCGCCGCCTGCTGAGCACATAGTTTACGCCCAGACTGGCCCTGAGCAGGCACCAGGCACCGCTCCAACGCATTTTCTGAAAGCTGCGCAGCACAGCGCAGCGCCTCGCCTCGGCTGAGATTTGAGCCGACTCTGACGCGTCCCGAACTTAACGCCGAGCACGCAAATGCCTCCACTTTTCAAAATCTCACATTCAACACCCGGCACCCGGCCTCTTGAGCTTCAGGTGTGGAGGACCCTTGAGCAGCTGAGTCGTTCCGCCTGGCCCCTGCGCCGTACTTCTCGCCGAGCTTCCTTGTCTGCCTCCTACCACCACATCCATCGCCCTCAGCAGACACAAGCAAGCAATGACCACCAAGGAAGAATACACTCTGTTCTACTGGCCCGAAATCCCCGGTCGCGGCGAGTTCGTCCGGCTCTGCTTCGAGAAGGCCGGCGTTGCGTACAAGGACAACGACGATGTGCCCTACTTTTCCAACCTCCTCTCGGGCAAGCAGGAGAGCGGTGTGGACACGCCGCACTTTGCTGTGCCCATACTCGGCGTCCACGTTCCAGCCGAGGCATCCGATTCGAGCAAGAAGGCCAAGACGGACGACGCGGCCGATGTCAAGCACGCATCCGGCGGTACATGGCACTACATCAGCCAGACCCCCGCCATCCTCAACTTCCTCGCGCCGCGCCTCGGCCTGCTGGGCGATGCAGACAAGCTCGAGGGGCTCGAGCGGGACGTGGCCATCGCCCACATCCAGCAGCTGTGCGCCACCGCATTCGACCTCAACACCGAGACGCACGACACCCACCATCCCGTCTCGGTCTCGAGCTTCTACGACGACCAGAAGGCCGAAGCCAAGAAGCGATCGGCCGACTTTCGCCAAAATCGCCTTCCCAAGTTCCTGGGCGTCTTTGAGCTCACGCTGCACAAGGAAGGCGAGGCGACCAACACCGAAACGACAGGCCGCCGCCTGGTTGGCACCCAGACCACCGTCGCCGAC